GTATAATCTTTTTCTAAATATAAATTGCTAACATCAAAATCAATACGATCATGTGTTAATGCAACATGTGGTTCAATAAGATCCATTGTATATGGACCAGTTTTTTCATCTTTATCAATTAATAGAACATATCTCCATGCTTGTCGATATACATCACATTTTATTCCATATTTATGCAGTTCATCTTTAAATTTTTCAATATCAAAATATGATCGTTTTGGTAAATGACAATCTAAATCACTTGGAACAACTTCTTTAACCATGTATGGAATTTGATCGACTCCGTGATATTGTACCCATGCAGTTGGATTTATTGAAGGATTAGTTGGATGTTCTGTATATTTACCAACAACCCAATCACGAACAAAACCACCTTCTATCTTACAATCGAATTTGCAAACTGCTATCCATGAAACAACTTCCATACGTGTTTCACGTGTTGCATGAATACCTTTCGTCGCATTGTATAAATCAATTCGAGTTTGTTTACTATCGGTTATATGACTTATTCTTTCTTCAATGTCTAAACATTGTGATCGCATTTGTGGACGAAGGACTCGTGGTGGTACACCTAGAAAAGCAAAAAAAACAATTGTCAATCACTTTCCGTGTATTCAAAAATTATTCCTCGTTAAATATGAGCAGAAGACCTCTCTTATGAAATTAGGCAGACACCATTATAAAGTGTGGCAGATGCTGTTAATAATTGAACAAAGAGTGCATATCAATTATATTTCGTTTTAATACATGAACCATTATAAATTTCAAAATAGAATGTGCTCTACTTTGTTTTTGAATAATTTTTGATCGGAATATCATAGAAATTTGCATTTTTCATCATTTAACAAAATCTTCAAAAATGATATTCTGAATCTATTCTTCTGTTGATTTAGACTTTTAAAAGGACTAATCGATAGACAAAACTCTTCTTTTTCGATCTAGACATGGCTGACATTTCTAGCTTGTTTCCTAAGATTCCTGATTTCAGCCAATCAATCTCTGATCAGCCAGAAAATCAACTAGATAAGGGTAATTTACTCTAATCGTGATATTTGTTTTGAGAACCGAATTGATCTAACATTGCTATCTCAATGGTTCTGAAAGTACCACCAAAAGTACGATAACGTGCGAACAGAAGGAGTTAGGCATATCACGCTTGCTTAAATCAAAAAAGAAGAATTTTCTCTATCCATTAGTCAAAGATAAATAGCTGCAGAATATCGTTTTTGAAAATTTCCACATACTTCAATGACCTTGGATCTACTATCGTAAATAATGAAAAATGCAGATCTTTATGATGTTTCTATCAAAAGTTATTCAGAAAAAACAGTGGAGTATATCATATTTTGAAATAAATAGTACTTTCTTCTTGTCTCCTAGGAGAATAAATGAAGAAATATATTCCTAAATACATAGAAGAAGGTAATCCTCTGCAATTATCAACAATCGATACATCATGTTTCACATTCCGATCACACATGATTAGTATCTTCCCTTACCAGCATCAGGATTTCTAATAACAGTACAGTTTTCTAACCATGACAAAAATGAATCAAATTCATTTTTAACTTTAACAATTTCCGAATATCTTCCTGTAACTGTTATTGCACATGTATTCGATGATACAACATTGTTAACTTTTATCTTCACTTGTTTTTCTGCGTCCCATCGCCATATCATTGGATGAAATATATATGGCATTTTACATACTTGTTCAAGATTTCTTGATAAATTTTCATGTAATGTTGTATTTGGTGGATGTCGATTTTTTAGTTCAAATTTCATTTCTGTAATCATTTCTTTTCGTAAATGTAATTCAGCATTGAGAATAGTACCAGATCGACCACGTAATGAAAGAGTTTTATTCTTTAATTGCATATGAATATTATCGGAGTAGAGTGAACGAGCTTTTGTATATCGATTTTCACTATTAAGATGAAGTTCTTCTTCATTACGTAAGATAAGTTCACGTTGAAGAGAATGTTCCATCCATTCAAGTTTCATTTCACCAGCAAATGAAATAATAGCTCGAGAACGAACGGCTGTTGAATATAAAGCATCTCGTACAATTATAAGAGGTACAGGTTCTTGTTTTATAGGTCGTGTAAGAGTCGATTTCAGATCTAATACAGCAATATCATTCAGATCTTTATATCTAGCAAAGAGAAGATTTTTTTCTTGTAATTCTCTCCTTGATACAAATATATTATCTCTATAACCAGTTAATAATGCTTTTGCAATATATTCCCATTCTCCTGATTTTGTATGTGCTTCTGCACGATAATTAGATGATAAATTAAATGATTTTTCCAAACTTATATAACGTCTCAATGCTGGACTAATTATATGTCTTATCTTAGTTAAATCAGCAGCTTCACAAATACGATCAATATTAAATTGATGTGATGGAATTGATTGTTTAACTAATAAAACTTTATTCATAATATTCAAAAGTGTCATAAAATCACCATCAGGACTTTTGAACGTTGATGGTATTAATGAAAATATTGCTGCTGAATTTAAAACACCCAACATAGATGAAAGACAAATAAGATCATGTCCACAATTGAAATGTCGAAGAGCAGCTAATACAGATATTGACATTTGTATTGAGCCAAAATCGGGAATTTTAGAAAGAGCTTTTCCTAAGTTTGTAAACTCATCACTTGGAGCTGCTTCCAAAATATCTAAGAATACATTTAGAGTCAAATCATAAGTGCTTGAAGAATCTATTCAAATAAATGAAAAATCAATGATGTTAGAGCAATGTCACCGTTATCATTGTATCTAGAATCTCCTCCTAAATGGTATCAAATGATGTGTCCGAAATAAGTTTCGAAATTGTATTCTTTAGGAAATCATAACAAGATTAAAAAGAAACTTTATGTAGAAAATTGAAGAAAACCAGTGTGAATTGAACGATTTTAGAAAGTCTGTTGCTACTATCCAGATCACGAAATACAGACCATTTCTGACCCAAAAACTCATGAAAGTGGCAGAAATTTGACAGCAGGAACATGTCGGAAATTCATAAATTCGAATGCTAGAATCATTAATGTGAGTTGTGACAATCCGTCAACTTACCTAATGTTCGTAGAGCATCAATAGTATAATTAATAGATTGTTGCGATGGTTTATCAGGTAAGAATCTTTGCATAACATTGAGTCCACATTTTAATGGTGATCGTCTTAATGAAAATTCAATATTTGTTAAATTTTATAGACATATATGTGGTTTTGGATAAGGTTGATCTTCAGGTTTAAAATTATACAAAGCATAATATTCTCCCGTTTGTGTTCTTCCTACTCGACCTAAACGTTGTTTAATAGTTGAATGAGCTGCTCGAACTGTTGTTAAAATAGTTCGTTTAAGTTCATAATTATAAATAGGTAACTATATTAATATAACCAGTATCAATAACATATTTTAATGATGGAAATGTTAATGATGTTTCAGCAATTGTTGTTGAAAAAAGCACACT